CCATTTGTGGTTTGCCACTGTCCTATGGCTGAGGTCACCGGTTTGATTCTGTGTGCTGGTTCCGGGTATCGATCTGGCTCTACATAGACAATAGACAATATTTACCAACTGTCCTTGGGGGCATCTGTCCAAATTGGAATGGTACAGAGAAGATTAGCATGACCCCTGGGCAGGCAGGGATGACACAGAAATTGGGAAATGGTAAAAAGTACTAAAAACAAAAAAGAGAAAAGAGAAGAACATGTTTGTCACTGCTTACCCATTCTGGTTCTGACAGTTGACGTCAGCTCCGGCTTTGTCGATCAGCATTTTCACGACATCCACGTGTCCTTGCCAGCTGGCAACCATGAGCATATCTGAGAGAAGTACAGTTTTCTTCTCCTCCTTCTCCTCCTCCTCCTCCTCCTCCTCCTCCTCCTCCTCCTTCTCTTCATCTTCCTCCTTCATTCTCTCCCTCTTCTCTTCCTCTCCCTTTCCCCACTCCTCATCCCTTTTCTCTTTCTTCTCCTCATTCTGCAATTCCTCTTCCTGGGCCATTGCTTGCTCATTTCTGCCTTTAAGTTCTTCCGCTAATTCCTGATTCTCTTCTCCTTCTCCTTCCTCTTTTTCCTTGAACGATTGCAGATCGCTCGCCTGCAATGACATGTCCACACCCCCAACGTCCGTGTGCTTCCCATCTTCGGTGTAGGTCGACGAATCGATCCCATAACTATCATCGTAATCCAGATGCCGATTTAGACTGTGAGGATATGTCGCCGTCTCGTTATCCTGCTTCCTGAAGTAACTACCTGACTTGGCAGTTTCCAGCAACACCGATTGTTGCAAACCGGCGGCGGACACTCTCACGTCCTCCTCAACGACTGTGCTCTTCTCGTTTTGTGTGTGAGCAGGCGCACGCCTTTTCCTCGTCGCATTGGCAGCATGCTGACCCGTGCTTAGCACGTGGAAGTCCAGAAGACAACCCAGCACAGCGCAGTGATTGCTCTCTGCAGCCCATCGAAGGACCCTCTCCTTACCTGGCCACCTGCCAAACTGCTTGTCCATGAAGATCCCCTTGAGTTCTCTGCCCGAGACTCCGTCCTTGAGGAATGCATGCCCGCACTCTCCTTTTCCAACCCAGAAAAGCCAGTTGAGGACATCGCCGGTCGTCCAGTCAACAATAGGAACGTTGGACAATCGTTGGTCAACGGCAGGCCGTATGCGCTGTTTGATGGCTACGATGCCGTTGGCAGATGCGCAGCTGAACACGGTACAGTTGCCGTCTAGCAGGTATCCAGTCATCCTTTCCCAACCAGGTACAGAGTCGTAAATGCTCAAGGCAATGGTTTTGTACCCAGCCTGCATAGCCCAAGCGAGAACACCACCTGTGTCGCGCAATCCATCCTCTACGAAGTTATCTTGTTGGCTTTTGGATGCAGGGGGGTTTGTTCCCTCATCCTGAGGAGGACTTCTTGCAAACTTAGTGGTATCATCATCTACCTGCGCGCCCATATTTGTACCTGCCGTAACTGTGCGTTGCTCTGCCGGTGTCTGCTTTCCGGCTGAGGTTTTCACCCGAAAGGTCTCTAAAAGAAGTTTCAAACCTGTTCCATCAATGATCGAGTTTCTGAATGCCGAAGACCAGTCTTGTCGCCCGCTGACCAGAAGCCAGTTCACTACATCTGCTGCAGTCCATTGCTCGATAGGATGGCTCTTCAGTCTCCGAAGAGCTGCGTCTCTCAAGCTCCCAATCAATCGAGCAGGAGAGGTGCCATCATCTGATCTCCCAATGCGGTTCACCAGCACCTCTAACGCTGTGGGTGCCCATTGATCGGACCACGAACTCCCCGGAGACAGACCTTCCTCTCCACTCCCCTTGCCAACGTGAGTAATGCCCAACAAGATCCTCAATGCCTCTGAGTCCTGAGCTCCTCCTTGCTGCTGCAGTTGACTCACCTCTTGTTGTTGTCGCTGTTGCTGTTGTTGTTGATGACGTGTCTTTGACGGTTCTGACTCAGTGTTGGAAGTTGTACTGAATGCGTGAAGGTGATGGATGGCTTGTGGTTGGTTTGTGTGACTTGTCGCACTTGTATGTGTACGTTCGGAGGTGGCCCATAGGGATTGTAATGGTGGTGGGACGTCGAGCATTCCGCCCTCGCGCCCTGTGTTTCCCCCCCCTTGGTTGCCCCCCTTCTGGGCCGCTCTAGAGCTGACGGAGGAATTTGAATCCACACTGACATCATCGGGTCTTTTTCCTGGCGCCTGCGGTTTTGGTACTGGCACAGTATCTTTTTGATCCTGGTCTACAACTGGAGAAATGTGGTCCTTGGGTATCTTGCTGTCCCTCCCATCCGTCGTCTCAATGAGCGTCAGCAGCAAGGGGTAGAAGCCGTTGTTTAATGACCAATAGACCACTTCCCTCAGGTTGGCCAGATCCCACAGGGACTGATCCGCACAGGATATTTGAGGTTCAAACAGTGACTTCAGGTGGAGGCAGCTCGGATGCTCAGGTTGACTCTCCAAGACACAAGTTGAGTTCATTGAAGACGATTCGATCAGATTGGCTATGGATCTCCCATCAACGCCACTTTCCCTCAATGACTTGCTCAGCCTGAGTTGCCCTGTCAGAACTGCCCAATTTGCCACGTCATCAACGTCCCAGCGCCTCAAGGGAACCTGCAGGCACAACCATGCGAGGAAGTGGTCACAAGAGGCAAGAATGGTGAACATGTGTGACTCTGTGTGTGTGTGTGTGTGTGTGTGTGTGTGTGTGTGTGTGTGTGTGTGTGTGTGTGTGTGTGTGTGTGTGTG